ATAGCATACTGAAAACTGGTTTAAAAACATCTGTAGAAGCAGAGGTACATTCTAACTCAGAGGAATCAAGATTTTCTTATGCTCAATAATATAATCATACTGGGGCATGGGAAACATCGCATATCACTGTTTAAATGACTTTGCAACACTTGTTTAGTATATCACAATTTAAAAATTACACTGAATTAGCACCACATCTCATATACAGAAATTAGACTGTGATTTTTATTGTTATATGAGTAACTTGTTAATAGCCAACTAGCCTCTACTTATTCCAGAAGCAATGTTTATCTTGACAAAAACGTGATTTCATTCCACAGTATGTCTTAAAATATTAACTGTAAGCTGATGAAATTATATTACTTGCATAGAATAAAAACTAAAATTCTGCTCATTCTAGCTCTGAAATTTAAAAATAATTTAAAACTCATTTTCTGTTCTAACGCACAGATTATCAAGCAAACCTTTAAAGAAAGCAAGCTATACTTGTGAGACTGCAGAAAAAGATCCATCATTTAATATTCTGCATAGACTTCTTTCCTGAAAAAATTAAAAGAGCCAATGCCTAACTTACCGTGCCGAAGTGCTGACTCACTGTCTGCAGTCTCCTGCTCGCTGCTACACATCGATTTGAACACAGAAAGCTTCAAGTACACCAGCTAATCACAGCGACTCCCTGATCACGTGACTTACACCACCGAACGTGAAATACAGCATCTTTCAAATCGCAACATTCTCTGCCACAGCCTCCTGAATAAACCACATTCAGTGTAAAAGTGCCACGAATTTCAATGAGTTTGTGGATAACACTAAATTAAGGGGAGCAGCTGATACACTTGATGGCAGGACTGACAGAAACCCCATGAAGTTCAACAAAGGCAAAGACAATATTGCTGCCCCTGGGATAGAATAATCCCTTGCAACAGTACAGGCTGGGGACCAAATGATCCGAAAGCAGCATTGCAGAAAGAGATTTAGGAATTCTGATGAATGCCACGTTCAGCATGCTCTGTGGCAATAAAAGCTGACAGCATACTGGCCTGCATTAGTAAAAGTATAGCCAGCAGGCCAGGGGGAGTGATTATTCCTCTCTATTCAGCACCTGTGAGACCACAGCAGGAGTATCATGACCAGTTTTGAAATTCCCAGTGTCAAATTCCCAAGTATCATTGAAATATTTATCTCCTTTTACCACTTTGCACAAAAACAGCCTAGCTGGTTGGAAGCATGGGAAAGGCTCAGGGCTAATGACAAATTTTGGAAGTGAGTATGTCCCAGACTCTGTCTTGTGCACCCAGAAAGTAAGGGTTCCTCCTCTGTATGTCCTTTCAGACCTGGTCCACATAGTGTGAACAAAAGATTTTGTCCTTGAACACACAAATAAGCAGACCGGAGAATATGCAGTCAGCCAAAGAAAAATCTCCGATTTTCCTGTGAACATGGTAAGATCTGTAATTGCACCTGCTATGGTAACATTAAAAAAAAAGAAGTCAAGCCTCCTCAGCCCACCAACAGAAGTTGAGGAGACAGTACTTCCACTTCTAGCAACACAGTGAGTTGCATTACAAAGGTTTTACACGTTTTTAAAAATCGCTGTCCAATACCAATGCCAAAATTCAAGTTTAAATGTCCCATTCACTCATTCCTACAGTCACACTGGAGACCTTGTGAAAAATAATGATTTGTTTAAATTAAATTTCAGATATTGCTTTTAACTACATACAATAAAGCAGGTGCGTACAACATTACTGTCTTTACCAGTAAGCTCTTTGAATCTATGCTGAAACAAGAACAACTTGAATAATGCAACAAAACGTGTACAATTGGAGATTATGACTTACCTATTACCGATTCAACTGTGTTACTGCCAGAGTAGAACGGGAGAGCTTTGGCACTGATAGCAGAGACAGTTGTAGGAGATGAACTATCTGATCCAACACTGGAGGCCAGACTGGAAGTTATACTTGAAGCAAGTGGGTTAACTGCTGAAAAAACACTGAGATGGTTCTGTTAAAAAAAAAACAAAAAACAAACCAAACAACATATATATATATACACAAACAAACTTACACAGATGTATGTACAAACATATAAAATAAACAGAATGTATTTTAAAAAGTAGTTATTTTAATTCAAACAGAAAGAAATCCGGAAGAACCTTCTGAATGAACAGATTAGGATAATTTTCCTTATCATTTACCAGCGAGTGCATTTCTCCAATGTGGCTGGACATCATTATGATACGAGGGACTTCTGCTTTCAGAAAAAATTATTTAAATAATAAGGTATTGCAAACAAGCTCTACAAACATAATTAGTTAGCTGAAGTCTGATGCGCCTTTTCAAAAGGAAAATACCTATTGAGGAATTGTACCATTACATTATGCATTCGTACACAAATTATATTCTGTATTATTTTTTTGATCTGCAAATTTTCTCATTTAATATAAATGCAAATTGGACTTTTCAGTCTCTTTTTTCTCCCTAACATATTTACAAACAGCAAGCTTCTTGTCCCACCCTCTACCTACAGATACACCTGCAGGAGACTCCACAACCTCTCTGGGCAACCTGTTCCAAGGCTCAGTCTCACACGTACAATAAAAAAGTATTTCCATACATTTAGATGGAACCTCCTGTGTTTCAGTTTGTGCCCATTGCCTCTTGTCCTGTCACTGGGCACAGATTTTCATTAGACTATGTTGTAAAGCATCAAAAAATTATCAAAAAGGACAAAATATTTACAGTGTTTAGCTTTTGGCAATACCTGCTTGTTGTCCTGTTCATTTATTTTCTGCTGATTCTCAGCTGGGAAGCTTCGATGCTTTGACTGAAAGAAGAAAAACTTCTGTAATATATGAACTTAAAGAGTCATTGCTGTAAAATATATTAGTAGTTTATGAAGGGTCAATGGCATCTGTCATGATATCTTCAACAGGCTGACTTCATTTCCCTCACTGCAGACCCATATGGATAATTCCATTTAAATTACCATAGAGTAAATCTATGTGGAAAAGGATCAGCAGATACAATTGTTCCACCTATATGCATAATTGAGCACATGCAAGTTTTCTCTTGTCCAAAAACTGAGTAGCCATGTTAGCACTATGCTGTGACAAAAACAGCGTGTCCCAAATGCTCACCAGCTGGGGAATACTTCTCCAAGAGGCTGGTGGGATAGAAGCCTGAAGTAGCGAAAAGTCTGAATGGAACTGCCTACATTTTCCCTTAAAGTGATCATGCTATAAATAACAACAACAACAACAAAATTCAAATATAAGGGCAGATTTTCTTTGAATGCCATTTTATAATATGTTGAATTTTGAAACAAATGAGACATACATAAATAAACGGGAATTCTGAGCAATTTCGTTTTGCCCACTGTGTTCTTGCAGAGCAGGATCAAAGGATCTCTGTTCTTTTCAGGCCAGTAATTTTCAGTTACTTCCTGAATTGCAGTAAACTCTGCAAGGTGCTCTCTGTCTCTTTAGGAAAAATGGTTCTTTCTGCTGCCTTCGAGCGGTCTTGTTGTGTCGGTTCCTTGTTTCCTTTGTGAGATTCCTGATCTGTCTCGCAGTGAAAGCTCCCTAGCAGTAACAACTCTCCTCTTTATATGCCTCCCACCACTCTTGATACTTTTTTATCAATTGCAAAGTCCATCACAGGTTTTTCTCTGGACAGGTTCAATGCGGCCACTAAAAGGCAAGCACAGGATGTTTCTGCTGCTGAGACACATTCTTTGTAGCAGTACATTACTCACTAATTGTCACCAAAACAGCAAAATAGATCTTCACCCATGGTTACATCATTTCTCAATTATTGCTGCCTATGCCCAGAAAGCAGCCATTTGATACCAAAGTGCCTTGCTTCCGTGACATTTGGTCAATGATCACTTGATCTCTATATTGGGAGATGGAAATCTTTTCCATCGCAATGACCAGGTCTCTAACGTATAGTCTGTCTGAACATCTACATGTAAGAAAGCAATCCTGCCTGGAGAACTTTACTCTAGAGCAATGATCTTGCCAGCCCCTACAACAAGTTACCATTTCAAAACCCACTTTCCTTCATTTCATTATTTTTCTGTCTTTTACTTCTGCACTTCTCTGTGCATCTCAGGTTATAGAAATCAATTCTGACAAGTCTCAGCTTTGCAAGACAGCTGATCACCTTGGCTGCAGCATATTTATATGCGCCATTGGAGCTTCTTTTTTTAAACAGTTCCTTTCTGACCATTAAGATGTGTAATCAGTATTATAATAGAGTGAGAAAAAAAACTTTAACAGGTAAATCCTGGCCTTTCCGCTTTTTCCTTGCAGGCCAACAGAGCTGTTTCACATCCCTGAAAAATACCAGTCTTCCCTTCTCCCAGCTGTCTCTTAGCACTGCCTGTTTTCTCCCCACTCCCCGACTAGAGGATTATAACTCCTCACCAACTTCAATTTCAACCACTCTCCTCTCCTTGCTAATGCTACAGATCTCTCTTTCTTGAAGAGACTTGTTATATTTTATCATCTATGTCTGTCTCAGCAGCGCATTTGTCCAAGGAGAGAGGCAGCTGCAGGTGGGAGAAGAAACAGACTGAAATTAATCAAAGATTTGAACTAATAAATAGCATTAATTTCTGGCTGTTGATACATCTTTTCACCATCAATTTTCAACAATAATCAAAACTGAATCCTACCAAGACTAGTTATGACTTTTTTTCCACTGTTATCTTGCTCTGTTCTTGGCAACATGGGCTCAAAATGACAATCATAACATTTCTGCAAGGTTAGAATTTACTGCATGCCAGCTGAGCTGCAGTGACTTTGCATGAGCGTTCCTGGCCTGTGACAGCTGTAAAGTAGTTTGATGCAGTTTAGCTCACTAAAGAGGAGGGTTCCAAACTCTGTGTTCTAAATTATCAAAAATCGGTGCTGATACACGAGAAAGACAATGTTTTCTGCTGAATCTAATTTAACTTAAGATCGCATTTGTACTTCTAGATCCGCATTATTCACATACCTGATCTTCTCGTTCAAAGCCTGGTGCTTTTGGATAGCTAGATGTTGGTGAAGAAACACCTGATGTGCTAGACTCAGAACACAAAATGCCATTTGCTAATGATCTCTGTCTACAAAGAGGTCCAAGGGGTGATAAAGAACTACTGCTACCAGAACTTGATGTTACAGTTGGACTTGAAGAACAGCAAATCTGCAGAAGACAGAAAACAGTGTCTAATATACTCTATGATATTTGTTTACAGCTATAGCCTCCCACTGTAACACAGTCAGTTGAAATTATAAATTCATTTCAGTCTTACGTAAATACAACACTAACTTTGGTTTATTTGTATATATTTTTGGTATTACCTTAAAAAAGTAGCAGATGACAAAAGTAACATGGAGCTATTTTAAATATACAGACTTCAAAAGGAGATGTATTTGTACACACCAGAATAAAGCCTTGTTTGGTTCCTATGCACAAAATGAATCACAGGTGGAGATCAATCTACATAATGGCTATTAATTTACAATAAAGGAATATTTGCTTTCTGACAACACTGATTTCCATTCATTCATATATTTCTTAATTTACAGTTTGATGCAACATTTCACTCTTTTAAAAGAACTCATCTGGATCAAGCCAAGCAGTTCAAAAAGAAAAAGACAAGTAGAATCTTGGCAAAAAGCATTTCAGTGCTTGTTTGTAAATCTCAAAAGGCTGTTTTCTGAGATTATTAAATATTAAAATGTTTATTGATTAATAAATTAACATTTTAATATTTAAAAACATTACTGAATTTATAATTTTTAGTTCTGCCGTACATTTTCCAGAGAGTTTTAAACTTCTAAAAGTTTAAAAACTTCTAAAAGTGCTAAAACTTCTTGAACTAGATTTATAATTAGGTTCACAAAGGCAGTATGGAAATAGTTGCATCCTACATTTATGCCTAACAGCCCAGTGCTGAGAACACTCAGTGCTGATACACATTTCAATCCCTTCCGTGCTTGTTTCGGAACTGAATCCGCTAGCTCTCAAATAGCTGAACTAGTCAACACAACAATGGAGTGAAATTCTGCCAAAGTTATTTTGGTTTGTTTAAATACAAAGTACACACTGAATCAGACAGAATAAACACGAGTAACGATATAGTTTACTGTTAAACTCTCAGCTTAGTGTTAAACCTAACCCTTTGTTTTACTCTATGGCCCAAAGAATGTGAAAGTTATTTTAAGCAAATCAGGATTTTAACAGGAGACACTTCTCTCCCCAGAATAGTATAACCTCAAAATGTCCCCTCTGAGCAGCAGGAACTTCAAATTCCTGTAAATCAGGTAGAGGACAGACATGAACCTAGATGAGGTCTTAACCCTTAACAAAAAAACCCCACCTCCAACAAATGTAAGCCCTCTACTCTCTGAAGGTTATTACCTATGCATTCACTCACTCCTAGCGTACAGAAAATCTCCTGTCATCAACCTTATCTGTGTGGAGTTCTGTAATGAGACTGCTTCTGAAATCCAAAGACAGCTTCTCTATGCAACAGTCAGAAATGTACATGTACCCTGAGAGCTGACAGAAGTAGAAGAGTGGGCACCGCAGCAAAAATAATTAAATTGATAGCCAAAGTATACTAAGACAAAATTCCTTCTGAAGTCAAAGGCTGAAGAACTCATGTTTTGAACACAAGCTTGTACCATTTACTCTAAATCCAAACCAGAGGATTGCCCCTGTGCACAGTGATGCTAAGTTTGCACGTTTTTTGAGCTCCAAAATACTGAATGCTAGAGAGAAAAAGAAAATAAAAGGACACTGCCAGGAAAAAAACCCACGGCTCTTAAGTGAAATAAAAAAAAATATTTTGTTTTTTGGTAATAAAAACATGCTAAGATATTCAGTTCCATAACAAAAGATTTTGAAAACCTTTTGTTAATAACATAATTACATCTTGTAAGTACACTTAAAACATACTTCTGGTAGCACAAGGCTGCTTAATGCAGCAGACAAATAGGTAAGATAAAATGACTAGATAGCGAAGGCAGACTAACACCCAAAGTAAGATACTAATTCAGATAAACTACTGACTCAATTTAAGGATGAATTCCCTAATCTGGACAGAATGTTTCTCAGATGCACATTAAATGTCCACTCTTTCAGCTAGGCAGGCAACACAGGCTATTTTATCAACAAAGGAAGATGTACATCATGGCTGCTCCCCTAGAATGTGACCTAATGAAGACCAGGGGAAGAGGGAGGAGGGAAAACTGCCATCATGGGTTACTCGTCCTGGAGGGCTGCCTGCAGACAACAGAGCCCTAAGTGGGGAACGATGCTCGTGTTCACTCAAAAGTACTAAGTTTGAGGTACAGAGTTACTGGCCAAGATCAGATGATATCAGATAGGCAGACCATTAGCTAAGACCATAACGTGCCACTTGTGATCCTTCTGGTTACAGTAGGTATCAATGGTGGCATTAACACATCTATATATGTATCTGTAAGCATTATGAGCTTACAATACGATTTTGTGTATTTTTGCTCTGGAAAACTAAACTCAACTACAACAATCGCTCAACCCCCTGAGATGCAGGCAGCACTATCTGATTACATTCATGTTTAGGCTTTTAGTCTTAAATCTCTGAAGAGTCCACCAGGATGACAACAGACAGAGATAGCCTCTACTCTGTCTTTTGTATTTTTCAGAAAAGAAAAGTTAGTTAAGTTTTAATAACTGGATTACACGGTATCACAAATTTTGTGTGACTCAATAAATAATTCATACAAATAAATCAGGAAAAGAAAATGGGTCCTGTAATATCCACAGTAGGTTAAATACACAAGCAAGAAAAAAAAATTTAAACCTAGTCTGACTTTACAAGACAACTACGTACAAAAATCAGTCTTTTTGGTCTGAAGTTATTATTTAGAATTTATTCCCCTCTATTTCCTGTCTGCCCCTATAATGTATGTTTATCCCACTAATAAGAACATAAGAAATGCCCTGTTGGGTTAGACCCAGACTGATATCCTGTTACCAAAAAAGCCAAGAGGAGATGATATTTAGGGAGAATATCTGATCCTAGTCATTATCTGTGGTCATCAAAGATAATTCATGAGGCAGAGAAAGTAAATGAAGGATTTTTTCAGACCACCTCCCTTCGCTCTGTGAGAGATTCCTCCAGGTCTGGTGAAGATGTTCTGGCCCAAAATATCAACACTGATCAGGACCCACTTCCTTTTTGCCCAGGCTTGTAAGCAGCATCTCCTCTATGACTCAAAACTAGGTGGACTCCACAGAGAAACCATGATAAGTTACATTGCCACTCACAGGACTAGAAATAATCTATCCTCAAATATTCATTCATCCCTTATGGTTTGCTATGGTATGCCTGCAAGACCACTGCTCCTGTATCTCTCATGCTCTTTGCACAGAGCAAGATACAAAGAACATCTGAGAAATGTCAAGAAACCTGTCACTACAAACCGCCATACAACTTAACGCGGTATTGACGCCAAGATGGTGAGCAAAAGAGGGACTTGTGATTCACAGTCAACATGAAGTCAAATGTCAGTACCAACATAAAATGAGTGTGACATTAGTATTATAGACAAAAAGAGTGAAAGAGGGGGAAGGGAAACTATCAATGCTTAGTTTTTGCTCCTCGATGCTGCAGAATTTACATTTTGGTAGCAGGGTTGGCATGAATGGCAATGTCCTCAGCACTACTGATGCTAGGAATTCTATTGCGAATTGTTAGTCTTAATTTTATTTTTATTTTTTTTAGGATTTTTTTTCTTTATTAAGACAGGTGCACAAACAACAGAAGCTAGAATTCATACAGCTGCCTCAACTCTGGAGGAAGCCTTCAACATGATCTTTGGAAACTGCTCTACAAATGTAACTTAAGATTTGTGGCATTTGATTTTCTGAGTGTGGGATAAAGAGGCCCAGCAGATGTAAGTACACTTCAGGAATGCATCCGTCCTAAAAATGGAAATCTGCTGTGCTGTGTAGTCAAAGACATAAGTACAGGAAGGACACAGTTCAACCCCTAAGGATTTAGAGTCTACTTTAGTTAACGACCAGTACTTGGTGACATTCGTCACTTTACAAAGGCTCAGCTGTAAATTTTTAAGCTTAATTAAACACTGCAGTTGGATACATTTCAGATTACCTCTCACTTTCACAGAGGTTACAAAAGAACAACTCTTCAATTTCATGTCTTTGCTCAAGGTGATAGGAGGACACCTGAACATTTCTGACACACCACAAGTCAAAAGACGCCAAGCTTGCCTTAACAAGGGTCACATCCTCATAACGTTGTAACTGCATGCTTTGGCCGCTTAGATTCTTATGAAGAAATAATTTGCCACTATTCTTCACTTGCAGCTAAATTGCTTAGAAAAAGAGCACGTAGAACAAGTGATACATCCTTTCCCTTGGTTCTTGCCTTCTCTGGGCCTTTGCTTATAGCATAAAGGAAATGAGGAAACATATACCTATAAAACTAGTTATATTTCCTATGAAAATAGCAGCTTCTTGAGTTTCTTGATTTGCATTGTATTTTGTGGCTTTAAATGTACCGTTATATTGCCTACATTTAGGGGGGGAAGGGGAAGATGACAGGAAGAGGAAACGTGCAGGTATTTTTAATTAAGTTGTAAAACTAATTTTGCTCTCAAGTAACTTATTTTCTTCCTATGTCCCTCACTGCCTCAGAACACTAATTCCACAGTAAAGAACGCATGACTCACCACCACTGCTCAGACTTAGATTATGCACACATAATCAAACTCAGTGGCATTATCACAGCATAACAAACTATTATTTACCAGACGCGTGTGGTAACTGATCACATGCACACGGTCAAGCCATCTTAGTTACGAAGTAAGAAATACAGCTCTAGGCTTAATGAAGGCAGCAGAATGCTAGTGCTAAGGCTGCCATCAGGATGAGCTATGAAGGCACACCACCTTTACTGCGATTGGGCTGACACGCACCGACTTCTTAACTATGCTAACTTGAACGTCTGATCAAGTACTTACACATCTTTGATAAACTTGATAAAACAAAGATGGTGCTGGTTTATCCTATCTTCATCCATTGTGATCAACATATACCCTATGCAAATATTCAACCTTAAATACATCACAGACTCTGGGCACAGTGACATTATGGCCAACATTTCTAGCCTTTTACGCTTCAAAAGGAAACTATGATTTATGGCTCTGAGCCTAGAAGGGTGAACATAAATATTCTATAATTGATAAATGCAATTAAACTTTGATGTATCTCCTATTTCATCTCCAGAACAAACAGCAAGTTTTCCTATTAATTTTACAGTGCCACAAACTTGAACAATATTTACAGACAAATTTTATCATACAGCTAGGCCTTTGCTCTGTATCGTCACCTCACTAGGTATGCTGCAGCTTGGTACCAGTAACAGAGACCTGATGTATGCAGAAGATCAGCAGTATAATCCTAAAGTGTGAGCTCAGTGTGTTTTTAGGAGAGGAAAGCTAATCAACCAGCTAGAGAAAGCATATAAAGCAGCAACTATGACTATGGCTGCATGCGCTGAGACAGCCTAGTTAAGTCAACTCTCATGACCCTCTGAGAAAAACAGACACAGGAGAAGACCACTAGGGTATGTTGAAAAGCAATAAATTTGCAGAATATAAATGAGAACAGTTGAAATGAAGGGATGAAACTCAGGTGAGGCAGAAGCTTATGGCTGAGAATGATGCATATGCAGGGATGCAGAGGACTGCATGCCAGAGAGATTATTTTGGCAAAGGTGACTGAGGTAAGAGGCAAACAGCAAAAGTACCAGAGGAAAAGGGGTCCACAGCATATTGGATGATGAAACGTTACATAGCTGAAGATTCATGGAAGGACATGCAAGGAGTAATGGAAATATGAATAAATGTGAAAAAGTGGTAACATAACCAACATCATTAACCAAGTAGGGCATCAAAGTTTAAACAGTGCAAGCAATGTATCTGAAACACGGATCAAGCCATTTCAAGACTTGTATGCACAGAAATTATCAAGAAAGGTAGTTTACTATCAGAGGAATTCAGATACATTAATTTTACTAGTGCAACAGAAGAAATTATAAGGAAGACCCTCTTAAAGATAAATAAAGACTGAAAGAAAAGAAATTTATGTCATTAAAAAAGGGCAGTAGGAGAATGAGTAAAAAGGAGTTTTCCTTCTGGCAATTAGATGACACTGAACAGAGCACAAGAGAGTAGTAACGGTTAAGAACAAGTAGCAAGAGCTGAAAGTAAAAGTTGCTGGTGTAAATGCAGCTCCTAAAGGCAGCACAGAAAAGGCAGCAGAAAAGGATGAGTGAATTTGTTGCTACAATACATACAAAGACTCCAAATCTTACTTAAGGCACTTCATAGCTCTGATGCAATGCGAGAAAAAATGGGTATGCGAAGAAAGCCAATCTAGGACTTGGCAGAACAAGACAACAAAAAGAAAGATAAGAGGTGATGGCAAGTCTGGAGAAACACATAGTACTAATTGAAATTAAAAATTACAATCAAGGGAAAAACTGTACCACGTTGGGTAAACTGCATTGTGGACGTTAAGTACATTTAGATGATACAACTGGTAAAGTATAAAGCAAAGGGAACCGCAAAGAGAGACTGGAGAAAAACAGTACTATTGAAGATCAGGTGAAGGGACTGACAAAAGTATAATGTTAGATGCTTCAAACCAGAAGGCAGAACATGGAGGTAAAGAAACATAGATGTAGAAGCTTTTCATGGAAACTGAACTCACACTGACCAAAAAAGGCTGAAAAGTAGATTATTTCCTGACTGACACGTTAAGGAAAGATACAGCAGAGGAATGACTGATGACAGTCCAATTGACAAGGCAACTTAGATGAGGACAAAAGAATGCAGTACAGGTGAGACAAGAAGGTCTATATTTGAAACAGTTATACAGCCTCCCTCACTATCAACCTGGATCATACCAAATCATAATGGATTCATTCTTCCAGTAACACAGACAGGGCAACAGTACTACCACATCCTAGAAATGGGGACCTAAGCAACTTGCTCACAAAGAGGAATTTTATCATCAAGCAGAGAACTGAGTTTAGATCTCTCAAGTGCTGTATCATTCTTTTCCTCTAGAAACAAATAAAACAGCAGGACACTCTCCAAGCATACTATAACAGGATATCAGAGAATCATCAAATGGTTTGGGTTGGAAGCAACCTTAAAGATCATCTACTTCCAACCCCCCTGCCATGGGCAGGGACACCTTCCACTAGACTGTATGTGAAAGAAGTTTTACAAGATGAATAGGGAGATCTTGTTTTGAAGACACAAAGGAAGAGAGTTAGAGAAAGCCTAATCTCATCATGATAAAAACCACTAAAATTAAGTTTACTTGGGGCCAGTGTCAGACAGTGATGTGAATGAAGACGAAGGAGGGGACAGAAAGACAGACAGGTTATGGAAACAGAGAGAAAAACAAATCATGAATGTAAATAAGTTGCTGGGATATGGAAAATGAGGGGAGGGAGGAAAACAGACTGACAAATACTAAAATTAAGCAGTTTACAGCAGATGGAGAAAGTGAAAGCAAGTAAGTAACAAAACTCAGGAATTAAACATGGAAAAACAGGAGACCAACCTACTAATGAAAAATCAGGAACTGAATATCCAGAAAAACTAATAATGGTAGTGCATCAACCAATGCTGCAGGTAAGCAGTCAAGTGAAAGAAAGACAGAACATTTTGCCAGACATCAGAAAAAAGGTGGTCACTTGCAATAAAACTTCAAGTAGAAAGTACAGGGAAAGGAGCAGGGTCAACTTTTCCATTTTAACACTTGAACGGTAGTACAGGCAGAGACTCATTGAGCACTGAATGGAAAATGTACACAATGTTCATCAGACTCCTAATGACTAACAGAAAAATGCGTGTATATGGAAGATGACTCCCCATTACTGGAAGACATATTAGAATAGTGTTTTCAGCTGTACCTAAATTATTCATGAAAGGCTAAGAAGCTTCTGGGAGAGAGATGCTTTTATGGGTCTGTCCTGAAAGCTGCAGAACCTTAGCAACAACAAAATTAGCTTCCTAAACAAAAAGGCAGAGCCTCTCTCAGAACCTTTCATATACAAAAGCAGAATTCTGCACTGGGAACCTAAGATAAAACATAGGCATATTGGTATCTTTATTCTCAATCTATGGGATAGCAATATGAAGCTACACGAAAGAAACACAGGAGTTTTAATAACTGCGCTATTTATTGGCAATTCCTTTCAAACATTATTTAAAATACATCCTTTTATCTGGTTTCTAACCAAACAGTATAGATCAACAGCGCTGGAAAGCTAGAAGTGAAAATTCTGAGAACAAATCTTTATGTACTTATGACTCTGCACTGCAAATGAGGTAAGAAAAACGCAAGTCAGGAGAGAACAAGAGAGATGTCGCTATCTTTATGTATTATTTTGCAACAAATATAAAACCTAAAAAAAGGATCTATTCCAACTAATACTAAAAGGAAGATAAAAAAAGCTCTGCAATGTATCTTTCACCTTCTTCTCCCCCATCCTTAACTGATAAAATTTGGTAATATAAACTACATTTATCACCCTTGTAATTGAACGCCTCTCTCCTACCAAACACACTGCATGTACTGCACCACTGTATGAAGCTTAAAGTATAAAGCACGTTCAGGTTGGACATCAACTCATTCCTAATGTTAACAAATTAGGGCAGAGAAGAGGGCTGCGATCAGGCAAGATCTTCCATGAATGAAACCTTTCCTATAGAAAAAAGAGACACATGTAAATTAAGCTGTCCTGTAGCTGTATATTTGATTAACAATGATGTTCCTCACTGTAGCATTCAAAATACTGCATCTAAAGACAAAAAACAAGAGCAGAAAACACAAATAATACATAGTTAAATCTGGTGCTAAGGGCAGACATTCCATTTAGGTTTACAGTACCAGTTAAATATTACTGCCTGACATTTACTATAGCTGTGGGTTTTTTTCTCTTTTGCTGAAGTACAAAGAAATAAAAAACAGCTGTTTAAGAAGTAAAATAAACATTGTATATTGGCACAGTGATTATTAGTAGTAACTTTTCCAGAATTATTTACACTTACATTTCCAGACTGCCCACTGCTATTTGTAATGCTGTTTGTGGAGTTAAGACTGCTGCTCCATTCATTTGCAATTCCTATGCTGTCTGTTGAAAACAGGTGAGCGCCTGGCTTTGATTGACAACCAGTTTGCAGTATGACTACATTCATGGTGTCCTCTGTTGAAGGAATCCCCAACAAATTACACACAGATGTGATAGTTAGCTGTGTGAATTTAACAGTTACATACCTAGTACCATACACAGCACCTGTCACATGGAAACACCAATCACACACAAGAAATCTCTCTCTTTTTCTTTAAATATAAGCATAAAGGCAAGGTAAGAATAATATAATTCACCATTATGTATTTGTAGCTACTAACAAATTTGATACTTGTATTTACTTGCTCCATCAAAAATTGGTGGGAGGTAGATCAAAATTCATGTTTGTAAAGTATTTTAGATTTTGCTTTATTTTCCAGAATCTCTATCACACCAGCGTTTAAAGACAACATTTTTAGAACTCCTGACTGGAAAGGTAACAATGGCATCATAATTATAGGGTTATTTGCTTTCTTTTTCCAGTTTAGAACCAACGGACTTAATCATAAAACAACCTGAAGAGAATATGGGACATGTACTATTTAACTTAGAAAGGAACAATAACCTTTTACATAGTTCATTATTAACTTTTAAGTAAATTGTGACCAATGCCTTGCTAATTTCCATACCAGAAAATTCAACTCGAGGTGACTGAAGAACTACTTTGCAATTCCCCAAAGGCTACTTTGTTAAACTATTAAACATCTGAGATATTTGATTATTTCAATGTGCAAAATATTAAGGAGATTTAGACTTCCAGTTTTACAGGCAAATGATGAGTTAACAAAAAATGGTTACTTTAGTAAGCAATTACAGTTAATAACATTCCTCACCTCATAATCCATGCACACAAGACATCAAAGTAAGGAAGTCAGGACTGAAAATAAAATCTCTTAATAAATTCTACAGGTACAGCAAGATTTTTTTTTCATCTCTAGCCACTACTGCATTTCCAAAGGGGTAATGATAAACTACAGTTAAAAATCAAATGTAAACATTTCTCTCCACTAGAAACAATAAGCAGCTCAGATATAGTGTACAAAAGTACAAGCCATAGTAGGAAACAAAATGAGTATGAGATATGTAGACACCTCTCTTCAGTGGAGATAGCATAGCTGAGGATTGTTTCTAATGATGTGGTTTTTTTCTGTCTAGCATTTGATTTATCACAACTCCATGGCTTTCTCACTATACGGTCCAATCCTTTACCAAATATTTCCATTATTGTATAAATTACAAAAATAGGGATGTGGCTCACAAAAGAGAAAGGAAAAAGCTATTAGTAAGTACCACTATACACACAAGCCCAGTCCGGCCACACACACAAAAAAAAACACCCCAAAAAACCCATAGGGATTGCAAAGATGATGTCACTTGACCTCTGCTGTTCCTCCTACAGAATGGGAGTGCAAAGAACAGCTGGGAAGACAGAAACAGATGTGCTGACTTTTTATAAGTTACTCTCGCTTTCACTACATATCATCTCATTGTCCAGCTGCTTGCCCAGAGCAAGTCCAGTCGACCCTCACCCTGTCACAGGAACAGCACTTTCTGATCCATGCTGTCTCTTAAATCCTCATTAGCTTTTTTCCCCTGACGTGACATACTTGTCCAATATTCTATAAATGAGTGTCAGTAGTCATACCACCCTAAAAGGGTAGTATAAGACTACTTTCCAAACATTGCAAAGAGAAATAATCTCTCTCTTTCCAAGGTATTTAGGGAGAATAGCATGATTAGTTTTTGCTATTCTGCTTATTGATAGTAAGTCAAACAGACACACTGAAGCTCATGGAGATGAGGATAGAGCCTTCAGAAAGAACTTCAGCTATCTAATGCCAGTGCAGTGGTGCTTCAGAGATTATGTATCAGTAGCCTAGGATGTTATGTAGAAATAGGGTTGTACTCTTTATGAGATACAACTTCTTCAGCCATATAGTCTCCTTAGAATTTGCACTAACAAGCCTTGGTTTCATGAATGTAAGAGTTAGCATGGTCAGGCTAGGTCTGGCCTGGGGAATCCCATCTTTCATGAAGCCAGAAGTGATTTTTTTCATTATTGCAATCTTGGCACCAATAGAAGAGAAGAGTCTTGGATGAACAATCTGAAGGCAAATGCCTTCAGTAACACAAGCTGTTATACAGGAGATGTGTTCTTTGAAGTGTTTCCAAATTCTTGCCAGCAGAATTTCAGTCTAACCGTGTTTCTGTTTCAAAAAAAAAATATCTCTTTATTGTTAAGGTGCCAGTTGTCATCAGGCAGTCAGTGGACAAACGACACAGAGAGGTGTTCGTTATTTTAAGAGAGTCCATTACCGAGGTGTCCCGACATACCCTAGCTACTCTCTGTTTTGCAAAGGGTGTCAGGGAGATGTCAGATCCCACTACTTCTCTACCTTTCAGGATCAGGTACCCACCCTCCAGTCGATCACAAAGTGTCTTTGGGACTACACTGGACCCAGGGCTTCAGCCAGTGGGGGAAAAAAACAATGAGTGACATTTACAAGACAATGCTGTCTGCAGCCACAGCCTCAAGGGAAAAGCAGTCTCGGAGGAATAGTAATATTCCTCATGATCTTCACAAAGAAGAGAGAAAAGGGGAAAAAATGGTTGGCCGGTTCTGAGGAAGTCATTAAGGGAAGACCGTGAATGCTATTATAGAGAACGTGTGCTTGCACAAATTATTTTGCATAGAATGGTAAAAATTACTGAGATACATGTATGAATGGTGGGAAATCTTCCTCTACCTGTTCCACACACCTAGGTCTTCACTGAAGTCAGGTGCAGAACACCCATAATTTGTGATTCAAAGAGATCCACAAACAAGAGTTTCATACTTTTCATACTGATGACATGATCCACAGCTCTGAAACCATTCTCTCCCCCTTCCCTAATATGAAGGAACAGAAATCATTTTATTCTATGGACATAGGAGGCAGAATGTCAGAGCTGCTGAACTAAGCTTAAAGCTGCTGCCAACAGCAGAAATGCACCCTTGCTGATAGTAACCAAACATCTAACTTCTGATGAGCAATTCAGACTACCAGGGACTGGTTAATTTGTCAAGATTTCCTCTTACACAGTCTTCATTCCAGATGATGCAAGCCAAAGAGGTCCAGAGCATGCTGGTTGAGCCATGTAAGTCTCTTCTGATGGACATAAAATTCTGTCTAATGCAACTATGTGGAGAAAATTAAGCTGCTGCTACTCAGTTAGCATTTCTAACATGTTCAAAGTCTCAGGAATTCTCTCAGACTTCTGGAGATTTTTAAAGAGTACAAGAATTCATCCTACAGAGCAGAAGAAAGTACAGGGCTAGGTGGAAGGATTAGCAACAGATTAGAAAGATATCCCTTGAGGAGAATAACATCAGCAAATTGTTAAGTTTGGACTTTCCTTCAGCCCTCTATCTTTAGCCCGCACAACACTTAACTTTTCCTTAGAGATGAAAATAATGTTCATTGTCAATGACAGCTTCTGTGAGAATTATTCCTCTCATAGGAATCAAGCATGAACTGAACTGTTAAAGTGATGAAGACACACAGAAGTAGATCATGTTGGGGGTCTCAAAAGAACTCCAGTCTCCAAGAGCTCTGCTGAGTTTATCCTGTATGCTCTCCATGCTGGAGGGGCAAGAAGGGAGGCAGCATTCAGTTCGAAACAGCACAAAAGCAAAGGCAGCGAGCTACTTTTGATGTGAATAAACAGTCAATACTGACTTCATTGCCCTAATGTTTTGAGGAATTGCTAGGTTTTGGAATAAGGAGCTTGAAATAAATACAGGAGGTTATTTATCTTTCCTCTTCTCTGAGTAACAAAACCATGGAAAAGTAAAATCGATTGTCCCACAGAAGTTAAAAGACAAGTTGACCATACCACAGATTCTCAGAACCAAAAGCTGTGGGCAGGAAGAATGACTCTATTCACTGAAAGTATTTCAGGTAAGCAAGTTGTTGTATAGAACATCGCATTTGCCTAGACAGGTTAGACAGAGAGAGGAGACTGCTGTTACTTATGATCAGAGAATCATAAGATAAATACTACTGAATTGCAGAAATGTGGAGCTTCCCAAAATAGGTATGGTCTCTCATCCTTCCTTCCAGCTCTAGAAGCAGAAGACAAAAAGTAAGGTAGGAGCAGACCTTTCTTTTTTCTTCTTTCTGAAGTATAAATAGGAGGTTTTACTGATTACATAATCAAGCAAAACCTACATAATAAAAAAAAAATATTTATCACCTATAAGAAACCAGCTACATAGAAATGCTTCAAGTTCTGCCTTGCATCGCAACTGAAAAGAAGGTATGAATAGTTGTTGCAGCAACTGCACACTTCACATTCTGGAGTGCAGGAAGAGTGTAGGGGTAACCTAAGTTGATACTACTATTAAAAGAACCTGATGATGCCTACCCAGAATTAATTTGTATAGATGCATACTGAAGAATTGAATGCTCTCTTGAAAAAAATGGTCTTTTTCCCCTTTTTCTATATATAACAGTTTAAGTGCAGCGAAGATCTAAGTGGAGGAAAGACGACAGCTGACATAATTTTCTCGGTGTTTTTTTTCAGTTTAGCTAAGGCCCTAGTTCTGCAAATACTTGCAGAGATGTTTAACTTTTGCCTGAGAAGTTTACTACTGGGTTTCAATAGGACAGCTAATATATTTTAAAACGTCAGGTGTGTGTCTAGAAAATTGCCAAATCAAGCTCAAAAAGTTACAAGGACAAGCTGCATTTGTAAAGAAAAGCACCACCTGTTTTACTGCTGATGCAAATTTGATGCAAATGCAGCAAGCTCCCATAGCAATGTACAGTACTAGAAAATGTGGAACGAATTTCTAAAAACAAGTGACATCAAATGCCATTTATACATTAAAATTAATGATGTTAAGTCAATTCTGTTACTGATGCTTAGACATGATAGTTCACTTTTATGAACACTGATAGACAATAACAGTTCTTTTACTTACTTTCAACATGTGCAAACGCACAAAATGGACCACGTGGGCAGTAACCTGTTTGGCGCATGTCATTGCACTTTGTAGATTTATATATCTAAACAAAAGAGAAAGGTGGTTAACCTAAACACATTTGTTACATAATGCCAAAATACTTAGAAAATTTTAAAACCTTTAAATGAAAAATTCTGAATATTTACTAACAATATGTATTAGTTTTCTCAGAAAATCCAGTTCTTACAATAATTTCTAAAAATCAAATAGAAGAGCAGAATTTTAAGAAAAGCAAATCTTTGAGACAAGAATCTTAACCCTCTTCTGTACAATTCTGTATTCTTCTGTATAATAATAAATAGTAAGTAACAAGAATATTTTAGAAAAACAGTGTTTAAACTGTTTTAGTTTTCCACGTTGTATAGAAACAAGCCAAACATCAGGAATAAAATGTTCAGTCATTTACACCACTTTTAAGAAATCTTTCAGGATGTAGTAGAGCAGCTCATGCAGATGAAGAAAAAATCACTATGCTTTTTTCAACACAGTTCCTTTATTAGGACACCTCTAATATTTGAATCACCCTAACATTCAAATGTCTTTCTCTAACCTGACTGGGACGCGTGAGAACTGAAGTAATACTGACTGCTCATTACACCAATGTTTATGTAAGTTGCTATTAAGACCCAGATTCAGTTTATTGCTCTATCAGGATCTTGATGATCTTTGGATCTCACAAGGCTGGGAGGAGGGGCTGACATATCACATTAGAACAATATTAAGAACCTATTTAAAAGCATATAGATTCTTCAGAAAAATAATTCTGGTGATTTGCAAGTCTGTGGCAAATAGCAGAGGGATTTTTTTGGTTCCCCCAGTCTTGGTACTGTGTTCTTTGGCTTTCAGTGCCAGTTGAGTGATGCGTTTTACTGATTATTATAAAAAAATTATTACAATAAGTAATAATTGTTAGTTCAGAATGCCACTTCTTTGGCATATGCTGTGTAAAAAAATGTTTAACTTGGACTCCCGCCTTAGAGCAAAGATAAAAAATGAAAATAGGCATTAAAAAGAATCAACAACTAGTTCTATAAGCTCTTTATTTTAGACCTATTTTAAGCAACTTAGAAGAATTTCCCTCTCATAAGTGATCTTGAATTGAGGCTGAAAATTTAGTTGCTATATTCACTACTAGTTCATGCATAACCCAAAGATCATTCAAGAAACTATAGTAAAATGTGAAATCACAAAATTATTACTGCTGCTTATCACTCTACTAATAATTTATTTTCCCTTGAACATTGAAAAAGCAACAAAACATCCATGCTGTAAACAAGTATTCACCCAAATGACACACTTAACAAACCAACAGTGGGACTGCTCTTTCCATCACTTTCACTAGGAGCTATCACAGACACTGCAAAAAATGAAGGAGTCATTTGTGGATACCACACCCTAACTGGGAAATGAAGCTGGGCCCATCTCCTCTCTTTCCTGTTCTCTGTTTATTGGTTAAATATAACCCCCCAATGCTGTATACATGATGCTAATGCTGCAGAAGGAAAAAAAAAAAAAAAAGAGCTGACTTCCAAATGGTTTTAACAAAAGACGTAATTGGAAGTTCGGTCTTAGTTTGAGGTTGTAGCCGAAAAATAGCCTTCCTGATCCTATGAGCTACCCAGATGGTGGGGAGTGCCTTGTGGTAAACGCTACAGATACAAGAAGTGATAATATAGACAATACCAAAATACTATTGGGGCAGAGCTTGAACCTCAAAGACATTCTGGAGATGGTCACTTCATCTACACATATGGATATTACATGACAGAGAGCAAACTCAAAGGGCTAAATCATTAGAGAAGACTAACTTTCCAGCTATAGAAAAGAACGCGGTTGCTAACTATTAACAGTAGAATCAAGATATTCCCAAACATGATAACCAAAAGATTTCTTCAAAAAATAGTCACTGAGCCAAGAGGCAGTGACAATATTCTTTATTTGAATTTAGTAAAGAGCAACTACCTGAAAACATCCAAAAAGAGAAGATAATGTTGGATAAAGTGAGTACTCATTCAAATTAAAGGACATAAAAAGGTAAGGCATGAAATAAGCAGATTGAGGAATGAAGGCAGCTGATTACCACCATTAAATAGACTGAATTTCATTATGAGCTGAATGAGTATTTTGAATCCTCAGGTCAGAGGTACAAAAACTGTATGGAATTTCCATTCTAACCACACAACTGGATGAAAGTCAGAGCTGAAGCAAAGGAGGGAAAAGATCACAGGGTATGATGCTGAATGAAACTCCTCTTTCAGTGCAGGCACGCTGCTAGTTTCTGTGAAATTAAATACTAGACCTACCAAACTGCCTCGATTATCAGTAGGAACTATGTTCGACACTACAACAAAGGCAGCACACCTAATGGAAACAAGCAAAGACTGAGGTGACTACAGCTGACATGGAAGCAAATCACCATCAGTTCAGGAATGGGAAATGAATTAGGTAATCACGACGTCAGAATTTTTAAAAACATGGCAAATAAGACAGACACAGTTAGCAAGTACTTTTAATAAAGCTGTCAAGTCAGAAGTAGCACATATAACTGAGGTATATTAAGTATAGCTCACATATGTTTGAAAAGAGCAAAAATAGCTGATTCAGGCCACTGCATATCCACTAATTATTCTGTCTGTCACCAGACAGAAAGAAATGGGATAAAATTAAAAGTACGTTTGGGAAAGGCACATCATGGTAGACTCACCATGTAACTTTGATAAATCAAAGGTCCTTCTCTAAAATGGAAATGTGGTCATTCTAGTAAGGACTTCAATAAAGGATGTGGTAAGATTCATCAAGTAAGATAACGAAGAACATGACTTTTACCAATGTTACATACCTGTGTTAAACTGACTAATGGAGAGATGACAATGGATAGTATGAAAGAGGAAGGCAACAGACAAAATTAGTAGCAGAACTCAAAGCACAGCCTTGTGACTTATTTTAGCACTTTCATTCATAGCTTTGTCATAGATAAAAGCAGGAAGACACCTCTACTACAAAAAAAAGGGCTGGAATATGATACAGAAGAAATTAGATGATCTGAAATAAATCTGGACTGTAAAATCTCCAGTAATCAGGACAGTGAAATTCTGGAGCAGCATCTCAAGAGTAGAGATAGCTTACACCTATTAATATAAAGATGTAGCTGGTCAACTTATGATAGGGAATATATGATATGAGGCTTGCAACAGTAAGTTGCAAGTTACTGGAGTCAGTATTCTAAGAATTCCTTTCCTGGTATGGTCTTGAGGTGCCTTCAATAATCTTCATAATTGTAAGATAAATTAGCAATTGCTCGAATGGTCTTTGCTTATACCTTACTAAGTATTGAGCTTTCTAATGCAAGAAATTACGTCCTGCTGTGAATTCTTCATGTTCATTCACAGGTCCCAAAATGAAAACAGATATCCAATGTTGTACAAGCAGCTTCTAGCATAATATGTCTTTTCAGTATCATGTTTGTTTCCATTAACTGTCACATTTAGTATTTTCATAGTGTCACATAAGAATTAAGTCTCAGTAGATTGCATGGCACTGCTCTCTTCCCTAGTGTTTCACTGTTATGCTTAAGCATCCAACAGTTACGATGACTTTGCCTACAGAGGAATCTAAAATCACCTTGTTTTTCTGGAGTATTCCTTCATCCACTAGGAAAGTTTTCTTCTCTGTCCACCTCCTCCTGACCTATTCAGTTTCTCTTAATTATTTGCAATAAAGCTCTTTTAATGTCGTGGTTTAGGCTGGGCTCACCACTAAATTAACGACACATGCTCTCTTTAACCTCTCCCTCCCTCCTCAGAAGAGAAGGGAGAGAGAATAAGGGAGAGAGACTTATGGGTTGAAAACTAAAACTACTTTAACAAAATATTAATAATAAAAAGATAATAAAATCAGTAAGAAAATAATGAAATATATACAATATACACAAAACCAGTATCAATCACGTCACCGGCTGGCACTGGAAAAGTCCCAGATCAGACTCAGCAATGGACGGGAACTGGATTGTGGACCTGGATTCAGGAATGCTTGGATCGGGATCAAAGGCAGATGAAAAGACAGAGTCCTCGTCGGACACTGGCCACTGAAGGAAGAGAGCTGACCGTTTTATCCCTCAGCTTTTATACAGAGCATGAGGCAGATGGGATGGAATACTCTGTTGTTCAGGTTTGGATCACCTGTCCTGTCCGCTCCTCCCCACAGGTGTGATGCCTCTACACTTTTCCGCTTCTGACCCACCAACTTGGCACATAACAAAGTTAGCTGACCTCGGTTATTAGAGCAATACGTATAAGCAAGAGCCTCTTTGCATACCATCCCTTGGTATTAATTATAAACATCAGGCTTTATCTGCTAGAAGCAGACACTGTCTGAATAATACGTCATTCATTTTAGTCAGTTAAAAGAGGCTTAAGTGAAAGGTAAAATCACCGAAAAGAAAATTGATTCTGTTCTACCTCAAACCAGGACATTTAACTATACTTAAAATAGAAATTTGTCCCAAGTTATTGAGTAGCAATTACTACTGTGACTTCATTACTCATCCAAGAAGCTAGGGAAAAAAGAGAACACATTTATTTATGTCAAATCCAGAGAATATAAATTAATTTTTCATAAGCCATACACTAAAAATGCCTATCAGTGAAAATCAGAGCAGTACAAATAACTATTTCTTAGCAAATTTTGTTTTGCTTAAGCAAATACTTCAACAACTGGAAGCGTTGAACGAAATGTCACAAGTTTTTTCATAAATAATATCTTTAATTGATAATCTAATCCATAATAAATTTGAAATTGCTAAAAATAAGTAGAAGGATAGTTCTTACCTCAGGATGAAACTGCTGCTCTGTACGAGAATGACAATATTGACAGCTATCCCCACTTTCACACCTTGAAGGTTCACCCCATTCATCTGCATGTTTGACATTGGGGCAAGGAGTGGACCTAAAACAAAAAGTGATGTACAGAGCATGTTTGTATCTACTTTTTAGCAGAAGTTTTAAAGAATTTCCCACTAAATCTCAGAATCTTAGATTCTGGGACCTATAAAGGTGCAAATTCTGAGAGACACTGACTTTTTGGAAGTTCTTTGACAGAAAGATGAGCTAGTAAGATTCTATCTATCTCCTGTCTAATGATATTTATTCACAGTTCTGAGACTGTCAAGCAAAGTCCATCAATTCTAAACCTTGTATCACTGCACGAAAAAACACCAAAAACAATGAAGAAACCACAGTGTATGAGAATGATGTAAAATGATGTAATGATGAGTGATGTCATGATGAAGAGTAAGAGAGGCAATGCATTAAAGTTTGGTCCTAAAAATATTGCTCAAAAATGGAAAATTATAGAACAAAACCAGAAAAAAAACCAGAAATTTTAATTGATCTTTTCACAACAAAGAAGATTTGATGTAGTGATTCATTTTTTTGCTAAGAATTATAATTGCTTTCATTCTTCACAGGAAAGAAGGATGTTTCCATTACAGCTTCATAGTTTTTGTCTTTAGAACTGTCTGATCATTCTGAACAGATGCTTTTTTTCCCAAAAAAAAAATTTAGCAAGGCTATTGGGAAAGATGTGTTTTTATTCCATTAGGAATATCCAATTGCATTATAGAAGAACCCAAACAGATCAATCCATTAACAACTGCCTGACTGACCAAAAAGTCTATTCTTAATATGTATTTATGTACCTGTATTTGAATTTTCTGGGATTTCGTCTTCTATCTCGACTATTGTGGTAGTGTGGACATGCATAACCCTGGCGGCAGAGTCTGGGTGGCTTGGTACATTGTTCTGTCTTGTAGCCAGCTAATACAAAATTTGTGTCTGTAAACAGGTCAACAATTAAGATAAATAAACAACTGATTTTTGCATTCAGAGTGTCTTTAGTGAGCTTAGGTATCACACTGCTTTTTGTAAAAAAATTATGATTCATGGACCACTCCATTCTTATAAACTTAGACTGAGTCCTGCATTTTTTAAAATAAAAGTCTAACACATTTACATGCAAAGCAATCTTCATCGCTTTTATATTCAATAGCAATATCACAATAAAGTACACAAATCAAGCACTAGCAATCTATGGGTAGAGAAACTATCCCAAAATTCTCGTTATATACTTTTAACATTTTGAAAATGAATACCTGAAAATACATTATTCATTTTAGTATAACAAACACTAAAAACTTATACAATTTTTTATCCGGATTTCTCTTAAGTTTAGTGTTGACAGTCCTTATTTCACCAAAACTGCTGTCATGTTAAGGCATGTTAAGGCTGTCCAGTAAAATCTTCCTGGACAAATTCTAGAGCCTCTTCTCTACCTTTGCCTCTGTGTCTACATCTTTGGTTCCAGGAAGGAGGAACTACGAGATGACAAACAAGGTTCTGTCTAGAAACAGAAAAATTCAGAAAAACAATGGAGCAAGTAAATAAATTAGAAGGTACAATTTAGCTAACGGCAAGCATGGGTTTGTGAGGAGTAAGTCATGTCAAACCAATTTAACTTCTTCCTAAGGTGGGAGAACGGATGTAGGTAAAACAGAAGCAGCCAATGTCAGGTATCTTGACTTCAGCAAACCTTTTAGCCTGAGATGTTCTCAAAAACGAACTGAGCAATACTACAAGACTCCTGTAGGATTTGTGGAAAACTAGCTAAAAAACATTATCAAAGAGTCATTAATGATGTACTTTCAAATAGCAAAGATTATTAATCAGAGTATCACAAGGAGTCTATTCTTTGTTCAGTCCTTTTCAATAGTTTCATTAAAGACTTAGAAAAACAAGGCTGAAATCATTAGTTGGATGATTTTCAATCCCCAGAAACTATGTGCAATCTTACCATATTTACAGGGATTGACAGAAACCATACAACATTATATAACACAGACCTGTGCAAGGAATTGCAAGGAACACAATGAAAGTGCTTGTAGTTGGCCAATTTTGCTGGTTTTTTACGTCAAACATCCAGTATTTTTTGATCTAGAGCTGACAATTAAGCTCTACACATTACTAGTACTTAAATGGTTGGAAGTCACCCTACAGTATATTTAAAAATACAGAGGGGACAAGTATCATACAATTATCTCCCCTTGAATTCTTTAGAGACAGAAT